GCATGCTGAATATAAGAACATGGTATTAGTCAGGGCTTGCTTCGCTGAAATATTTCTGCAGCATAAAGCCAAGCTTTAAGAAAGTGTCAAGAAAAGCATCTCCTGATTCAAATAATAATATGCCAGTCTGAGCGGAGGTTATCAGCTACATCCAATATGCAGATGATATAGTATTATTAGCTGACAGTTGAGATGATCTGAAAAAGGTCACTCAATAAATCAGCGAAGTAAGAAGGAATATTCTTTTCTTAACATTTGCTTTCCCGGTAAATCTAAAAATCAAGAGTCAAGAAATCCAATGAATGATGCATAACAGAAGTGTGGCTCATACTGACAAATACATCTCTTGGAATTTGGTTCAATGAACAGAGAGATTATAACCACTCAGTTGGTGTCAGGACAGAAGTGGTCGGAGGAGTTTCCTTAACATGACAATGTAATATACAACAAACATTAAAACTAGCTGTGAAAATGTGCCTTCAGGTACTCTTGGTTCTGTTGTATGGTATGGGCTTGGGGAATACTATGGGGGGCAATAAAAAAAGACAGAAGCATATGAAATATGGATTTGCCACTGGGTGCTAAGAATTTCTGGCATTAAGTGAGAGATCAACAACAACAAAAGTGAGAGATCAACAACAACAAAAACTATTAGAAGTACTGAATGCAAGTACAGAAAGCTAGAATACTTTGATCACGTGCCAAGAAATGAAAAGCCCAGATTATTATAGCTGATCCTTCAAGGTGGAAGAAAGGAACAAGAAATGGAGGAAGGAGAAGACCGTCTTGGCTGAAGAAGAGGGGTGCAGCGCAACATCCCTGTTTATGGCTTCTGCATCCAGATAGCCATGAGGATGTCAATTGTCAGTAGAAAAAAAGGAGCAAAAAGAAGAGGCAGAGCTTTTAAATTAAGGGTATTAATGAAAATGGATCAGCACTAACTATTATAGGAGCCTTACTGCACAGTCAAGAAGATCATTAAGATGATTTCTTGCTGTCTGGGTCTAAGATCTCTACTCCATCTTCTTATTGGATTCCCCGAGCAACATTGCCAGGTATTTTTTTGTTGGCAACAAGATCTGGAAGGGGTAATGGTTTTAACACCTCTCCAGAGACTGGCTACAGGAAGACAAATGAAGTTTTTTCTTGGATTGATCGCGTTTCAGCACCTGTGTCTCTAAAAGGCCCCACATATTTTTAACACTGAGATACGCACCCATTGGTGGGTTGTTTGATTTTTTTTAAATTGCTTTGTTTCCACTACAGATAGAAAAAGAATCATTATGTTTTTCCCCCTCAGCAAAAGTGCTCCCCTCCAGTTCTTGCATGGAGATAGTAATACCTAAATAATGGGATCCAGTCAAGGACTTCATTTATAAATTGGGAAGCCGCGCTTTGCCTGTTCCCCGAGCTACCTCAGGGCAGCTTGAAAGCTGTGCTGCAGAAACGTATAATTCTGATTTTCAGTCCCCAGAGGACGGGAGGGCGGGCTCTCTGACAACTGTTTGGCCACCATCCAAAAGCAGAACTGGTGCATTGCTAGTCTCAGTTAAAGATGCATTTCCAGAAACGATGTGGTTCAGTTTGCTTGAATCCATCAAATGCTTTTTCTCTCGCCGCTTGGGCAGAAGATCCCTTACCTAAATAATGAGATCCAGTCGAGCACTTCATTTATAAAGTGGGAAGCCAGCAAACAAAACGTGAAGACCACTCCCTTCGTCTGCCCCTTCTTCTTTGCCCCCAAATACTCTAACTTGCTCTAACTTCCAGTTCCTCCTTTAGAATCAGATTCAATGGGTGTGCAAGTGCTTTTGGTTCCTAAATTCCACAGTCGGTCTTCACTGGAAGGCAAACCTTCTTTCTGTCTTTTTGCATTTGGTCTGACTAGATCAGTTAATCGCACAACACAATGAATCACCTTCAGAGGAGTCAGGACGACGCACCTCTGCACAAGTGCTGTTCTGCGTTTCCTTCCTTCGAGTCAGCCTCTGGACACGGCCTCACATCTGTTCCTCTATGTGTCAAGTGGGATAATAATAGTTGACTTGTCTTACAGAGTTGTGAGGAGATTAAACTAAGTACAGAAGAGAGGCAGAATTCTTTTGCACTACAAACAGACACCCTTTCCCTCTCATTTGATGGCTTCTTAGTTTTTCTAAAGTTCTTCCCTCATTCTAAAAGACGGAGAGGCCTCTTATTGCTCTAGTGTCTTAACATAAATAAATAGTATTTTGATCCTACCTTTTTGCCATTGCTCCCTCCATCACTAAAAAGAGTGGGAAACTCCCTACAATTAGATCTGGCCCTTTGGCTGAAATGGGTTCCCTTGTTATCACGATATTTAATTTACATTCTTCCCTATTCAGAATTCCTACCAGGGAATCTACACTGCCCTGAGTAAACTAAGGATACAGAATCAAAGCAGGACAAGCTTCACTATTTTGGGATTGGGGGGCGGGAAAGGAATATGAATTAAAACAACTTTTCCAGGGTTGATTTTTGTGTGAAGGATCCCCAAGGACAGCAGATGCTCTTCTGTTGAAACCCATCCTCCTCTACATGTTCAGGGAGAAGGAAATGATGACAGAGTAGGATGGGGCCACAGCATTCCCCTGAATGTGTGGTGAACATTCCCTAATAAGAATGCCTGAACAGGGCTAATAAATCTGGCTTATCCGGAGGCTCCATATTGCCTGGGGTCCATAGAAGTCAATACGGTACAGCTCTATTTCCTTTTGTGTCTGAAAGGAGCTCAGCCATTGTCAACCTTTTTTTTGGCCGTAGCCAAAAAAGAAACATGGGCCGAATCAGGATTGTATCACACAATGAACCTTATAAGATGGTGGTGTTTTCAGTCTGAAGCCTCCTTCAAATTTGCCAGGGTCCCCCCAAGGGACCATATGGTCCCCCATGGAAAATAGGTGTTCTAGGTCATTTGTGGCATTACAACCCAAACAAATCATCTGGAAAAGGACTCTCGCTCCGGAAGCCACCATGCGCTTTGCCTGAAGGTGGTAGATTCAGACCCTGACAGGTAAAATGACAACATCCCAGGTGGTGGGACCAAGCTCTGCCTTAAATCCCATATTGTTGTTGCCAGTTTGTGGAAACCTTGCTGGCTAGGTGGACAAATGGCCTAACCTGGCTTGAAACAGCGCCGGATATTCATGCAACTAACAGTTGACTTCCTCCACTCACTTAAACAGAAACGTCTACATAAAAGGGGATGAAGGCATTACAGTGGTGCCTTGCTTTACGATGTTAATTCGTTTCAGCGAAATCGCTCTAGACAGAAAATGTCGTAAAGTGAAATAAAAAAGCCCATTGAAATGCATTGAAACCCGTTCAATGAGTTCCAATGGGCTGAAAACTCACAGTCCAGCAAAGATCCTCCATAGGGCGGCCATTTTTTTGTGCCTGTACAGCAAGGAATCCGTCCCTAAGCACAGCAGGGGGGGGTGGCTTCTTCAGCCGGTGGCCATTTTGAAACCTGATGATCAGCTGTTTTTGATCGTTGCAAAGGAAAATCGGTTCCTGAAGCAGGGAACCGATCATCGCAAAGTGGAAAAAACCCATTCAAACCATTGTTTTGTGATCGCAAAAAACTAACTGTCAAGCGGATTCGTCGTTAAACGGGGTAATCGTAAAGCAGGGCACGACTGTATTTGTTTCTTGAAACAAGCTTTCAAAGTCAACCAAGAGGAAGACATAAGAGGGACGTAACAAAGACGCAGAAAAAGTGAGAATGGGACAGCAAGGGGAAATTCGTAGAATTTAAGTACAGTTAAATATTTAAACGAGGCCCTCATGGGCTAGAGATAGGCACATCCTACAGCGCGCCCCCCCACCCGATGCGGCTAATCAGGTTTCCCAGATTTGATCTCCAACATCTGTTTGTTCTGTGATCTGCACCTGATTTTCTCACAAACGGCTGTACTTCTCTCTGCCTTCAAAGCAAGAGGGTGATGTCAATTTTTTCAATCAACAGAGTCTAGTTAAAAACCCATCATGATGATGGCTGACACTTTCCCATTAATGTACAAGATGTACACAGAGATAGATCATGGGGCAGCAGCTGACAAAACAGTACAGCATTGCCCATGGGGGCAGCAAAAAGCAGGAGGAAGAATACTGTTTATTACATTTCGGCTCTCCCTGTAATTTTAGAATGGCTGCAATGTGATAAGCTTTCCTCGTGGTTTCCTGTGCTCCGAATCCAGATGAATAGAAGAATAATACAGTAAAGCTTTTATGATGTGCTCATTCATTTCAATGGAGCTGGGCCATGAGAATTCATGGCCGAGGAGTCAGACCTGTCTCCTGCTGTCCTTCTCTGAAGGACTCCCCAAATCTGACATGTAGAATTGCAGTACCCTTTACATTGTGGTAAGGTCTTCCTGACAGCCACCCTTATGTAGTGGATGCAATGTCTGGCTGGGACCCAGGAGATCTGAGTTCAAATCCCTGCTCAGTGATGGAAGCTTTTTGCAGTGGACAGTGGTGAGTCCTTCCAAACTGCTCCTCAGGCTAGGCCTTACAAAACGTGGAGGCAGCAAAATTCGAAGGTCATCTTGGCCAAGTGTTATACTCATGGAAGCTGTAGTGATTTCAGTTAACAGAGTCTTAAAGCTTTAATAGGCAGCTTGAGGTATGGTGATGCCAGGTTGCATCTAAAAGGATGTCAAATCTATTGCCTTCCTCCATCTTTACAGACAACAGGCTTGAAAACCCTGAGCAAATGGCTGTTTTGTGGTCTTTTAGTCAAAACACATAGCCTCCATATGTGCTTGGAGCAGAAGCGCTAAGGAACATGGCAATCCTCATATCACCCAAGTCAAAGATTAAAATTGGACGCTGTGCTAGGCAAGAACAGTCAATGGAACATACTGTGATATTACCTGTTTGTAGGAAGATGCTGTCCTGAGTGTAGAAAAGACACACTAGTAAGTTTTAAAACCTGGAGGTAACCATGGACCAATAAAAAGCAGTATTACGCTGTCAGGGGTTCGTTTTTTATTTTGACAAGTTTCACTTTATAGCATAGTACTGAATTCCAGACCAACAAATTACTGAAACTTTCCTAAGTGGTCTCAGCACTCAGATGCTACCTGGTTCCAGCAGCTCAGGTGTCGTGTCATTACAAGGTATAAGATCAAAAACCAGAAATATATACATATAATGGAAGGAAACCAATGTATGGTACAAAAGCTACTCATTTATTTGGTAACTTCAGTTTACATATGACGCAAGTGTCTCCACCAGACAATACACCAAATGGAGCTCAGTGTGTAACAGGCTTTAAATCAAATAAGTGTTTTTCACTAACCGAAGTAGGGTTGCATCAAAACTAGAAGTTGAACTTGGCCTATTACATATCATATTGGGAGGGGGGGGAGCTATCATAAAATATCTGCACCTACATCTTGCTAGTACATTTGATTGCAAGTCCAATTTCAGGTAGCAACTTCAGATGGATTTTGTTATATTAAGTAGATGAAGCGGATTTTTTTGGAATATGTTCTCGTGAAACAAAGGGCAAGACAATAGGAGGTTTACTTCTAGCTAGAAATCTTCAGCATTCCAAACCTCGCAGAGCTGTCCACTTCCTCTCTCTTGCTCAGGTGCATGCAAGGAAACAAGCAAGCTGGAAGAAGACCAAAGCAGATAATCACTAAAGCTAAGAGAATGGGGAAGATGCTACATTTCTATAAGGGAACAGACTTCAAAAGTCACCTTGCACACAACAATATCTATGAGTCAGCAAATCCTCCAGGAGAGCAGCTGCAGAGACGACTACAAGGTGGAAGGAACACAACACTTTTTAAAATCTGAATTTGTGCTGCCATTATTGCAGGAGTTTGCAAACAAAGACCACCAGCAATTTCAACCATAAGGAAACATTCACCCATCTGGAAACCTTGTTAGGACTGGGATTAGTAAATAATACGTTCAATTTACATAGCACTTTGCTGATCAAAAGTAGCCGGAGAAAGCTTTCTCTAAAATTTTTGACAATATGCTTTAAAATGCCATGTGGGTCCTCCGCCTATTTAAGCAACTGTTTTACAGAGCAGATGAAGCATCTCCTAAAAGACTTTGGGGGAGTGCAGAATGAGTTTTTTTCTTCTAAAAAGAGAAAGTTAATGTCTCTAACCTTAACTCTCTCACTTTCTCGTTATATAAACTAGCATGTGTATATCCAAGGGGAGGTGAAAAATCAAGTGATATGCTAAAGATCTGTAGACTTTTACCTCCAATCAAGAGTGCAGTCAAATTCTGATGCAATCTAAATAAAACTCAAATAAATGCTGATAACCTGGAGCAACGGTTCCATTTCCCAGAGGTGTTTTCTAGTGTGGCATTTTCCAGGGACCCTGGGTCATGCACTGCAAACCATTATTTCTCTGCAAGCAGGGACCATTATCTGAAGGCCCCCATTAGATGAAACAACGTGAAAGATACAGAAAACCATTCCTTTCAAAAACAAGGCAGTGGGAGAGATCGGACTCCCTTGCTACACAATACAGTAAGGACTAATTTCCTATAAGCCCCCAGGCCTCCCAATTAATGCCAGATCAGAAGAAGAAACCTTCTGTGCAAACATGGCATTAAAAGAACCACCCTAAAAGCGTGCGCAGAGAAAGCCATTTCTCATGCTAGTGCCCATGTGACTGGCTTATATAGCCATTCCATTCAGTATCTGTGATTTTTCTCCTGTAAATGAATTCAGACCCATATTTGTACACAATGAAGTCACTATGCGTACCTGTTTCAATTTACTTTCATATTCCCAACTATCCGCATCCCACAGTGGAAACAGAATTTGGGGCTTTGTAGGAAGATTTTTTAAAAAGAAAAACTTGTCTTTTTAAAGCAAAGTAAAACGTCGCCCTTGAAGATCAGATTAAACACTCGTACTATGTCTTATGTGGCTTTTTATGCACGCATTTTGTGCTTTGAAAATTTGCTAGTTGAAAAGACAAGCCTGTGAAATTGCACAGGACACGACACCAAGCCCAGCGTGACTCAGAAATTGACAAGGTTAGGCAACTGTGACCTACGTGGCAACTTGTCCCTAGAGAATTCCAAGCAAAGCTGGCTCAACTGGTCGGTGACACAGCCTGCGTGGCAAGCAATGGCCCCACACTTTGACAAATGTCATGTTTAGAGTGGAAGTCAAAGAGAGAGAGAGTAGTGGAAGTAAGTGACAGTAGCACAAGTGAATGGGGAATGCAATGTGTTGTACTTGAACACTTTGTAACCCTTTCCCCTTATTTCAGTCTGGAGATGCCAGATCAGGAAATTCAGTACTTAAATCAGTATAGAGCAGCAAAGTGCAGAGGAGTAAAAATGGGAGAGCAGAGAGAATGTATGCATTCTGGACTCTTCTCAAATCTTCTTCCTGGAAAGGGCCAGCCATCCTTGTTCCTTGCCATATGCTTTGCCAAGAAAACTTTCTAATGAGTTCCGGGTCCCCAACTCGTTCAACCACAGAGGGGCTGGTCTTCAAACTCTGCCAAACACTTTGGAAATTTGAGCTGAATGAGAAAGCAGCCAAGGTGACCACCGGCTGTTCCACTTTGGGCTGCGATCCGACTTGGTGTCAGCAATACCAGAAGCTGGACCTAGAACGCCCATCCAATTAGGATTCGCCCACATCTACGTGAACTGTGAGCCAGGAGGAAACAAGGGAAGCTGCAGGTTAAGGAAGAAGGGGGTTGAGTCTGCATTTGCTATGGATCTGGAAAAGTTCCAAACTATTCCTTAAAAAATCAAGAGGAAAGAACAGAATGAAATCTGGGGGAGCGAAAGACAGGAAAATCACTCTGTTAAAAGTAAGGGAAATCCAATTCCTCACTACAATTAGCCACATCTATTTTCAAATAACCAAACACAGTGGTCCCATCATTATTAATCAACAGCGGAAAGCGCCTGAATACACCTCTAAAGAGTAAGTAGAAATCTCAGACGGGAAAGCAATAGACCGAGGTCAAAGGGAGGCCATGCCCAGTCTAGCGAAGCATGGTGCCTAATGCAATGTTACACGGTACATTTACAGCTTAGTCTGGATCACAGAATTCACAGCACGGATGTGAATGCTGGGCAGGCAGAACCAGGAGTGGGGGAGCTCTCGACTGGAGTTGTCTTCATGGAATTTGATGTTCAAGTAGAAATCGCCAGTGTAGAGAAACAGGAGGGCTCCCGTACACACGATGTTTTCTGTCGGTTTCACCTGAAAAAGAGGGGCAGCTATTTTAGAAGAAAACACATTTTTCTTAGTATGTTACAATTATTTCTGAGTCTTGGGGGGGGGGGAGAAATTAGTAAGTTTCTAAAAATGCAGCTTAAAGTGAAAACCTTGCATGAATAGAATCTGAGATTTGACTCTTGGTCTATCTAGACATGGATTTTTTTTGGGGGGGGGAGGCCAGCCTGAAACCCAGGACAGACAAGTTAAATCGAGCAAATGATTAGGTATAAGTTAGATGATAAAGTATCGGACAGATATGTACCAGATATGTACAGCAGACCGTTTAAAAACACGTATGAGATTTGGATCCTATAAAGCAAGACCCTGTGCTGTTTTTTCCCTATGGCAAGGTACATTTCTGCTTTTAAGAAATGCAATCCTTAGAAAAATCCCACTGATAAACATTAATCCTTCCCATGATGGGCACCATTGTTATAAGTCATCTAGCTCTTAACTTTCTGCAAACAGTTCACTCACCACAGTACTTGATTCTCTAAAAATCAATCCATATTATGAATTATGTCTAACATGAACATTGTGTACCACCTTTCAGGTTGCCTACTTAACAGGAGGAAGCATGCTAATTTAACATCTTCTGATTAAGGACAGATTGACTAAAGTATTATTTCCAGAATATATGGATTGTATAACACTCAGTGAGCTTTTAAAAAATACTGATTGGTATACAACTTCTGCATTTCTTCAAAATTCTTCGGCCTCCAGAATTTACCAGGAGTTTCCCTAGCTAAAATTCTTGAGTCTTTAGCCAAGAAATCAAGGACCACACAACAGTTTTAAGTTACATATGGGTGGAGAAAGAAGACTCCATCGGCCATTTTGTTTCTGTGAAGACGTCAGAGAAAATGGGTCGGAGAAGCTAAGCTCTGTGGCAGCAGCAAAAGATGAGAGGACCGTTAGCCTCATTAGGCTTTGTACAGCTCTCAAAAACACTTTCTTGTTTCATGTTGTCCGACTCTTCGTGACCCCATGGACCAGAGCATGCCAGGCCCTCCTGTCTTCCACTGCCTCCCAGAGTTGAGTCAAATTCATTTTGGTCACTTCGATGACACTGTTCAACCATCTCGTCCTCTGTCGTCCCCTTCTCCTCTTGCCTTCACACTTTCCCAACATCAGGGTCTTTTCCAGGGAGTCTTCTCTTCTCATGAGATGGCCAAAGTCCTGGAGCCTCAGCTTCAGGATCTGTCCTTCCAGTGAGCACTCAGGGTTGATTTCCTTCAGAATGGATAGCTTTGATCTCCTTGCAGTCCAGGGGTCTCTCAAGAGTCTCCTCCAGCACCACAAAAAAACTACCAGTCTCCTAACCCTTTGCAGCTCCGAAAGATCGTAGCCACACCTAACCATTACCTCTATCTCACTGTCAACAACACATTTTAAAAAAACCACAGCATTTTAGTCAAGCAACACTACCAGTGACTTCACCCACCTTTAAGGCCGGCTGTATTAGAAATATTCTCAAAAGAGCGGTGACTCCGCTGCAGTGAATTTTCAAATCTTTCCCCACTTTTAGATAGTTTGTTGTCCAAAGCGTTTTCATACGTGATTCCATAGAAACCCATGTTTGCCAGTGAAAATACACACCACAAGCAGCAACAGATAATCCTAGCCGCTCCTAAGCGTCTGTGTGCAAAGTCTCTTGAAGTTCAGATTTATGTCATTGCCAGATCAACTGCCTTGTCTGACTATTTTGTTATATGTAAAAGAAGGAAAAATGCTCCCTCTCTCTATCCACTCTTTCCTTATCATGCCTAGTGTTGTAAATCCTCTCCCACCCCAATCATCTGTTTTCTAAGGTCAATAAGCCCAAACACTTCAGTTTTCTTCAACAGGAAGATAAGGGATGTCCTGCTCCACCCACTCTCTTGGCATGTGACTGAGACTCCGTATATCGTGTTCATTTGACTCTTTCCAAGCTAACGCTAAGTCTTTTGTCTGGGGAGATGGTGGATCAGCCCCTACCTTGCCTGAATTTGCCTCTTCTAAAGGGAATGAAGGAAGAATGGCTATGTATTCGCGAAGGCTTTCACGGCTGGGATCTAATGGTTGTTGTGGGTTTTTCAGGCTCTTTGGCCGTGTTCTGAAGGTTGTTCTTCCTAACATTGCGCAGTCTCTGTAGCCAGCATCTTCCGAGGACTGGAGTAGGAACTCTGTCCATGCTCTGTTGGTGGTTGTTGGATAGTTGAGTATTTATAGCTGTGGGAAACAGCTTTTGCCTTTTTTCAGGGGATAGGGCGATCAGCATGTTTTTGTTTTGATAAGGGGGGGAGAGATTATCTGTCACTGTGATTGATGGGGATCATTAGCTGGTTTTTTTGCGCAATGATCCCTGGCCCTTGTGGCTGAGTAGAGGTCATTGACTTTTTGCAGGTTGTATTTTTCAGAACGGGGCGCCAGGCCGTGTTTAGTTTTAGGCCTTCTTCTTTCCAGTTGAAGTTCTGTTTATGTTTATGGATTTCAATGGCTTCCCTGTGCAGTCTAACTACATACAGACTGTTACCTTTAGGAGGGTGGGCATGTGTTTCCATCCATTGTTATTCTGTGCAAAAGTATAATGTAATTTATAATTTAATGGCCTGTCTGATTTCTTCAGCACATAAAAATCCACCTTTGACAACAGGTCTTCCCTCTCTTCTATACAGTTTATATTCATGAACAAAGATATTCCTTTAATTTTTACTATTTCATCAGGTTTCTGAAATGTTCTATGTTCTTTTTAGTACCGGCCACTTTAAATCCCCCACCTTACACAGAGGATTTTGGCATTTTATATAAACCCGCATGACTGCCATTTTGTGGGCCCATTTCCCTAAGGCCCTTTTGGTCCCTTTTAAATGGCATTCCTTCGTGCTTGACAAGTTCTGCCCTGCGCAGAAGACCCTCAAACATTTTATACTATCAGTCTTGAGGGAGGAAGTGCCCTAAAGCACACCGTTCATAGTTCCTCATGGCTTCAAAAAGAAAGAAAGAAAAGAATTCAGTTTAAAAAGCTGCTCTAAGAATTCAGTTTAAAAAGCTGCTCTGTAACTCTTCTCCAAATATAAGAAATTCATCTCCAAGGAGACATTTTAACTTGGCAGGCTTATACTGTATTCTGACCCTGCACTGTTCAAATCACAACTCAAAACTATGCAGACTTTTGTGACCAATTAGAATATTTCCTGAAGCATTAGGGTAGAGTCTGTCATCAGAATTTATTGTGGATGACCCAGGAAACTTTCAGCCAGGCTGCTAGCTGCTGCTATCCATTCCCAGCTTGTTTCACTTGACTTCTGAATGATACAAAGCCAAGCACGCTGACACGACAGTGTACCTCACTCCACAAGGGTATGGGTTTGAAATGGCAAAACTGACAGAAACTCTGAACCAAAAAAAAAAAAAAAAAAAGGAATGGCAGAGATTGTCTTGGAAATTACTTTAAAAGTACAGCAAGCTGGAGCGTGCTGCTTATATATCATCCTGTAGTGCTTAAAGCCGGAGTCCCCAACCCCCGGTCCGCAGGCTGGGGCCGGTCCATGGGCTTCTGAGACGCGGACACGGATCTCAATCTCCCCCGCACGTAAGGCTGGGGCCGGTCCATGGGCTTCTGAGATGCGGACACGGATCTCAGCCTCCCCCGCACGGAGGGTGTGTCATGCTCATGGATGGGTGTGTCATATTCGCGAGTGCGCATGACACGCCCCTCTATAAATGTGTCACGCTCATGGGTGGGTGTGTCACGTTCGCGAGTGGGCATGACGCGCCCCTCTATAAATGTGACACACCCACCTGTGAGCATGACATGCCCACCCGCAAGCATGACATGCCCACCCACGAGCGTGGGGTTGACCCCGCCCCCGCATACGGAGCCCGCACCCCCCAACCGGTCCGCAGTTCCAAAACGGGTTGGGGACCGCTGGCTTAAAGCACTCTCTGGGTGGTTTGCAATTTAATTATGCAAGCTATACATTGCTCCCCCCGCCCCACCAGCAAGCTGGGTACTCAATTTGAGGACCTTGGAAGGACATAAGGCTGAGGGAAACTCAATCTGGCTATGTGGGATTGAATTAAGTTCACGAGAAGAGTTTTGGCTGCAATATTGCAGTTTAACCACTGCGCCAGGAGGCTCTTAAAAGGGGCTAAGTCTAGAGCAGCTTGTCAAACACAAACAATGGAGAATGGAGGTCCACATATGTAAAACTAACCTATCCCTTTGCCTTTGTACTAAGGTGGACAGATTCCACTGCATCTTTCCATAGCAATCACTAAACCATTTTTTTTTTTAGTACGTAGACAGAAAATGATGGCTTATGGACCTACCGTATCAATATAGAAAGTGTTGGATCCAACAAAACTGATGGCATCTTGGAGATCATAGTTGTGGACACCATTCTGGTAATCTTGGTAGGGGATTACGGTGAGAGAGAAGGGGCCTACACCGCGCTTGCTCCAATTGGTCAGCTTCACTTCCAGGTTTACAGGGTCTCCGACTGCGCAGTCGGCTACAACATCAGAGTCGCACAGCTTGCCCTCCACCAACACATCTGCAAGACAGAACCCAAACAGATGAGGTTAAGGAATGTTCTGTGGAACGAAAAATTCTTAAAACATTTTCAGCGTGGCAAAAGAAACCGGCTGGCCAGTGAAAATTAATACAATTGAACTACATCCATCCATACATACATATTCATAGTCAGTGTTTACATTGAGCATCATTTTTCTTGGTAGGCAACACAGGATTACGTTGCACGGTGGCTATGTTTCGTGTTTTCTAGGAACAAAACTACTGGGTGGGAAAACTATCGGAGTCACCTAGTGCAGTTGGTTCCCTAATTTGTTTGATTCGTGGCTCCGTTGATTTACTGGCCACTGGCCATGGCTCCCCCAATAGAATACTTTGGGTGAAGTGGGGAGAAAGGAGGCAGGAAGCCTGGATGGAATAGTCCTGCCAGAGATTCCACAGAAGCCCTTCCAAGGTTTCCGCCGCATCCTTGGCTGGATTTGGTGGTGCCGTGGCACACAGTTTGGGAACCACTGACATAATGAATGCATATCAGAAATAGGAAACGTTTCAAACTTTTTTAAAACCTAGAAAGATAAACTTAAGGTAACTTTCCATATCAGAAAGGTTCTTTATAAAGAACATCCAAACCATGAACATATATCAAAACTTTAAGTTCATCCTCTCAGGAAATTCCAAATAAATTCTTGTACAATGGAGTGACAACAGACAGTGGAAAGACACAGGATAGCAAGATTGCAAGTCAGAGCACCAGATAACCTTAAAGACTAATTACCCTTACTGTGTTCATAATTTTCCAAATTCTATTGGATTTTAGTTAAGTCCTGAAGCACATTTTTTAAATATAAAATAGCAAGTTTTATTGACATTCCATATATTTTGTTTGCAAGCTAACACTTAAGGCATGGGAACATTTCTTAATAACTGCAATGAATCCAACAGGAGTCATAAAACATTCAATTCCAAGCATGCCATAGTACCCAGAGTGGTGTAATGGATAGAATGATAGACCAGGACTCAGGAGATCTGGTTTTGAATCCCCCTCTCAGTCATGGAAACTCATGGGGCAGGAGGAACTGTTAAAGCCACTGCCTCTTTGTGAAGACTGTTCTCACTATTTCACAGCAGATAAACAATAACATCATTTAATCAATCAATTACAGTATATTAATTTGCGTTTCACTGACATTCTCCTCTCACTGCCTACTCTATTGGTTTTCAAGTAACTAAACTTTGTTTACTTGTTACCTCCTGATAAGGGATGTGGTGGCGCTGCGGGCTAAACCGCAGAAGCCTGTGCTGCAGGGTCAGAAGACCAAGCAGTCGTAAGATTGAATCCACGCGACGGAGTGAGCGCCCTTTGCTTGTCCCAGCTCCCGCCAACCTAGTGGTTCAAAAGCATGCAAATGCAAGTAGATAAATAGGGACCACCTCGGTGGGAAGGTAACAGCGTTCCGTGTCTAAGTCGCACTGGCCATGTGACCACGGAAGATTGTCTTCAGACAAACGCTGGCTCTATGGCTTGGAAACGGGGATGAGCACCGCCCCCTAGAGTCAAACACGACCGGACAAAAATTGTCAAGGGGAACCTTTACCTTTACCTCCTGATGGTGAAATCTGCCTTTATGCATAGATTGTACATGCACCTGCTTTTTTCTGTCCATGTTCTGCAGGGAAGCTAAATTCTTACCCTTGCTGGACATGTTAAGCAAAAGTAATAAATGGTTATATGATGAATCCATTCGTAAGAAAAAAAACCATGTGGGGCTGTATAGTTGTTTGAGAACATGGTACAGATTCTCCCCAGCACTCTGTTCTCTCCAGCCCAATACATTTCTAATCCTACCACAATTGGCAAGACTCGGTGGAAGGGAAAAATTTCCCCCTCCCAACCAAAGTAACGACACATGGCCATACATTTCACCAGCTCCCAAATGGAATTCAGAATCTCAAGTGGGCAATCAAATTCTCACTGAAAGAAACCTGGTCGTGCAGTTGAAACACACAACCTCTGCTTTGGCAATGATGAAGAAACGGGAACTTTCCCTCGTAGTCTATTGCTGCAGAATACACCATTTCGTGTGAGGGTCTGAAGTACCCCTCCTGTACATCCAATTAAAATCTAAAAGGTCAGAAGATGGCAACCTCAGATCAGGTCTATTTTTTTCATACACCTCACAGTCAATTACTCTAAGATTGATTTAAGATGTGAATGCGTAGAGAGAGAGACTAATTATTTCCTGAACTCAGCAGGTGTACCGGCTGCCTATAAAAATTTACAGACAACAATCTCTGCCAAATGATCAATGTATGTTTGCACAATTCAGCGTGGGCTAGACAAGCCCTACTCAGAGAGGGTCACATGTGAATGGAGGAAATATTTCTCTCCCTTTATGACATGGAAATGTCCCATTGCATTAGGGGATCTTGTTCTCGTATTTTCAGCCGCCAAGAAAGGAAAGAGCCTCGTATACAGAGTTCTGTTGCTGTGGATTCCACTTGCTAACACAGATGGCATATAAAAGCTGAGATTACACTCTCTGTTGCTTTGGGAGTAAATCATTACTGGCCCTAATGTACAGTAGCTCTAAATCTTTAGCACAGCAGCCAAATGGTAAGTGCTTCATCTTGTTTGGATTCAGATTCATTTTTCAAAAAGATCATTACTGTTTCGGAAAATGAGAAGACAAGAGGCTAAGCAGATCGCTGTTGAAATATTTCAAGCTCCTGCAGGAAAAAAAAACGACAAAAGTTTTTTTGAGATGACTATAATGAGCATAGTTGAGGCTCTCACTAGGGGGACATCTGTATTGCTAGCTGTCTCTCCTCTCTGAGCAGCTACTTCCAATCGGTGGATTCTTACGCAAAAGAATATATCCTGGTCTGCAGCCTGAAACAGGGATGACATTTGGGAAGAGGGACTGTCTTTCCATCCATCTTGGCCAACTGTTAGTGCCAGCTAGAGTAGCCAACTGAATCAAGGGGCTCTTGAGATGTCAGCAGTTATGTAAGTTGCATTAAAACAACGCATTCTAGTTAGAGCTGGATTTAGTCCCACGTGCATTAAAACAACGCATTCTAGTTAGAGCTAACAACTGGATTTAGTCCCACACCGCAAGCTGCATGTAATTCTTTCCCATGAACACCCCAAGGCCACTTCATTGGTTCTATGCACTATGAGTCAAACCAGATGTTAAGGAAAACAGGCATTCCCAATGGGACTTTTTCACAGGTACTACCTCAGTAATCAGACTTACAGATGGCACCTTCTGACTTGCTGGTCAGAACAATACTTTCCAACAGCAGTCAGATCATCTAGCAGAAACAAAGCACGCTGAATGCAAGATCGCTCGGTGAGGAAAATCCTGTGTCATGAGTAACCAGACATTTCTTACCATTCGAGGAAGCATATGTTCTGAAACTCTGTCAAATGTATTATCTCATTTCACTCTCGGCGACTATGATTTCTTAACAAATACATGGGCCTCTGAACTGTGCATTTGTATCTGTGCAGCGTTCACTCTCGGCGACTATGATTTCTTAACACATACATGGGCCTTTGTATCTGTGCAGCAATGATTGTGGTGAATTATCGTGAGCAATTAAAATTAACCACACAATACAATGAAAATACACTACGCTGCAATTCACGGAGGACAGGCACCTTAGCCATGATAGCCAAACAGAACCTCTGCATTCCAGATGTTGTTGGTACAGGAAAGATAGATGCAGGAGATTACAGATGCTGTCATGAGCTACTCAAAGAATCTGCTCGGGTTGCTACTGAAAACCTGATGTTGGACTACACAGATCTTTAGTAAGATCTGGGACTATTTCTTTCATTTAATCTTCCACACATATATTTGAGGCCTTCCTAAGAATCTTACCTACTAAAATGTATCTGTTCCTCTCCTTACAGAAGCTAAAAATGGAAGACACCTGTATGGTATTCTACAGCACTGGTGGAGTTACGGAAGTGTTAGCTACGTGTTCTGAGAGGGTAGTGGCATATTGCAAATTGCATGCACCTGTGTTAAGGAACACACTTTTACCTAAATATAACAGCAAAGTAACAGATGGAATTTAATATCTTCTAGGTGGCATGAATCACATATATGGGCAAAAAGGTGTAAGAAAGTGTTTAAAGAAAGTATTTCATTGCAGTGGCTTTTATTTCTTTCTCTCTCTCTCTCTCATTCTTTAGAGAATGATTGCAACTTTGCTTGTCATTTTATAGAACTTGAGAATGTTAAAAAAGTTTCCTCCTTTTGCTTCCTTCTTTCTCTTTTCTTAAAATTCATCCTGGAAAAAAAAAAGGTTCTTGCTATGAAAAGCTCTGAGGTAAAAAATAAATAAATCAGAAAACATGCTGGATGAGTAAGCTCATGCCTATTTTGATTTTCAAAACATCTGGGAAAAGACTTGAGGGCGAAGGAAGACACATCCCCATTTCAAACTAATGCCGTGTACAATTTCTTGCCTGGATCTTTAGATTAGACAAGTACCTCTCTCCCTCCTTTCTGTGTTCTGTATGAAATCAGAAGCCATTCCTGGCAGCTTCTTGTTTCAGCTTGACTGGGTACATTGGATAGAAATGCCTTCAGCTGCTGGGCAGTTTTTCAAACCTTCTAAATCTCTTTTGAGCGCTGTTACGAAATGAAATATGTTCATCAAAGTACCCCGAGCAGTCCTCTTATGCCTACTGAGCCCCACTGTATATTTCTGCATTAATTGTTTCCCTTTAAGTTTCCAAACCTCATGATTTGTTTACCACTTGAAAAGCAAGGGCTGGCATCTTTATTTCTCCACTATGGGGGGAAAAAACCAGCAGTAGACAGATAAATCCCAATAAGACAGATTTGGGGGTGGGGGTGGGAGAACCTTCTAGTGCCTCTGTAAAAGCCAAACACCAAACAGTGATTTCATGACAATCTATTCTCTTGGTAACATATCTATTTGTTTTAAATCTGCTGTACGTGTCTTGGGTCCGTTCCTTTCCTCCTGTAATAGCATTCAAGCTTA